CTCTACAATAAATCAAAAATTAGCTGGGTGTGGTAGCGCGTGCCTGTAGTTCCGGCTACTTGGAAGGCTGAGGTGGAAGGATCACCCGAGCCTAGCAGGTCGAGGCTGCAGTGGCTGTGAGTGTGCCCCTGCACTCCAGGCTGGGCAACAGAGTGAGACGAGACTCCAACTCAAAAAAAAAAGAAAAGAAAAAGAAAGCTATGCTTTAATTTAAAAAGACATATATCTTTCTTAAAGTTCTGGTTAATTTCACAGCGATAAAAATAAGGTTAGCTTTGGCAGAATAAGTTAAAAATAGCATATAAAAGCAAATCTATAATTTAGAATAACTATATTACTAAAAATATACATGAAATATTCTTATTTTGGATGTTGTGACAAAAACGCTACATTGGCTATAGAAATGTACCATTCAGATTGCAGAACTGAGATGAGAATAGTCCTCCTTCATCATGAGAAAGACGTAATGGAAGAAAACAGATTTGGCTGGGCGTGGTGGCTCATGACTATAATCCCAGCACTTTGGGAGGCCAAGGCGAGAGGACTGCCTCAGCCCACGGGTTCGAGACCAGCCTGGGCAACTTGGGAGACGTCAAAAAATTAGCTGGGCGTGGTGGCACATGCCTGTAGTTCCAGCTGCCTGGAAGGTTGAGGCCTGAAGGTCGACGCTGCGGTGGCCATGGGCATGCCACTGCACTCCAGCCTGGGAGGCAGAGTGAAGACTCCAACTCAAAAAAAAAAAGAAAAGAAAAGAAAAAGAAAACAGATGCAGATAAACTATGAATACTATGTATGAAGTATGTCATAACAAAATTAAGCCTGAATCTCATCAGACCTCTAGGTCAGAGGTCCTCAATATGGGTCCCAGGTGAGGAGCACCAGCACCAAAATGTTAAAAATGCAGTCTTGCGCCGGAAGCTGGGATGGGGTTCGGTAATCGAAGTTTCAGTAAGTGAACCAGAGGACCCTGATATCTGCTCAGTTTTGAAGGCAGCACTAAATCTGTCAGTTTAACTGAGATTTAGAAGGGACGTAGGAACATGTTACAGAGCACCAATGAGATGAAGCAAGCCAGTCAGAAGTGAAGTATCTAGGCATTCTGGGTCTACTGATGTCTGTCAGGTATTTTCCCCCCACCCTGTGTCGGGATTGAATCAGCAGTCTAATTTCCTCTTTCTAGGCAACTGGACCAAGTTCATCGCTACCCTGAAATATCAAATCCAGAACACGGCACTGCTAGAGGACAGACGACTTGCTATAGCTAAAACAACAACAAAACTTAAGGAACATCAACCAAATGCAACGTATGAGTCCTACCTAGGATGCTATAAAAAGACATCTGCGACAACCCAGGAACAATGAACATGAAGTGATACAGGTGACAGAGGAGTGCAATAAACACTGAAGAATGCATTGCAGGATGAAACAACGTGTGGGATTTGCTTTCATCTCTAGCTCTTGGCCGGGCTCGATGGCTCAGCCTGTAGTTCCGGCTACTTGGAAGGCTGAGGCGGAAGGATCGCCGGAGCCCAGCAGGTCGAGCCATCAAGCCTGGCCGAAACCATGATTCTTAAGATGCAGTTTGAATTATGTAACCACAGCAGCTATATGTGAAACATTTCAAAGGAGTTTATGACATCACAGTGTTAAATCTATTTGACACGAAAACCTACACTCCAGCTATAGGCCAGTTTTAGAGCTGCATTCACCTGGAAGGTGGACTGCTGGATATGAACTAAGCCTGGGGCCATCTGACTCTGCTGTCCCTAGGCTCTTTAGGGGCGGGAGGGGGGAAGGGAGTGAAGTAGGAACCAGTCAATACATGTTAAAAAAAAGTATGCACTTTGGGAGGTGGAAGCGGGAGGACTGCCTGAGTCCAGGGGTTCGAGACCAGACTGGACAACTTGGTGAGACGTCTCTACAATAAATCAAAAAGTTAGCCAGGCTTGGTGGTGCACACCTGTGGTTCCAGCTACTTGGAAGGCTGAGGCAGAAGGATTGCCTGAGCTCAGCAGGTCGAGGCTGTGGTGGCCACTGCACTCTAGCCCGGGCGACAGAGTGAGACTCTTACTCAAAGAATAAAACAAAATAAAAAATAAAATAAAAGTAATTAAAAAGTATGCTATAAAACAAAACAAAAGGCTGGTGTTAGAGAAATGAGTTAAACATGGATTTTTAGTAGCTTCTGGTTAAACATGGCAGAACACACGTTTTTCTTTTCTTTCTCCTGAAAGCTCTCCCTTCCCCCCACAAAATGACAAAAAAGGAGGGACCAGGACAGGATTTTGGTTAAGTGCTTTTAACAAAACACCTCAAAACCCAACACTTAAGCACAAATCCAATTTTCAGAGCTAAAAGATCAAAATGAGCATTTGATTGTATTTTGTTGAATGCCAAGATTATATAAATGTACTACAGTGGTCTCAAAATGTTAAAAAGTCAGCTTTTCACAGTTTGGGCAACATTGCGAGACCATGTCGCTACAAAAAATATTTTAAAAACGACCCAAGTGTGGTGGTGCATACTTGCAGTCTCAGCTACTCGGGAGGCTGAGACAGAAAGATCACCTGAGCTCAGAGGTCAAGGCTATCATGAGCTGTGATTGTGTCACTGCACTTCAGCTTGGGCGAAAGAGTGAGATCCCAACTCAATAATACAAAAAAGATCAGTTTTTGAAATCTAGTCACAGCCTACACATATGATAGAAATCACTCTAAATGAAGATTTAAAAGTCATACGTACAAAATTTCAACCACAGCAAACGTTTAGTTTAAGGTTTAAGTCAAAAGCTGTGAGGCTCTCCTTTCACCCACCTTGAGCGATTGCAGCAAGTTTTCCCTTTTCTTCAGGGCTGAGCTGCAACATTGTATGTATAACAGGAAGAAGCCTCTCTCTTTCACTACCTGGTTTCAGAAAAATGAACTGTAGCAAGACATTCTTCAAATATTCCAGGTTAGCTACGGACTTTTCTCGTTCTTGATTTCTTTCCAATCTTCTTATTTCACTTTTGAGAAGCTGGTGTTAGAGAAATAAGTTAAACATGGATTTTAGGAGCTTCTGGTTAAACATGGCAGACTGAACACGTATATTTTTCTTCTCTTTCTCCTGAAAAGTCTCCCTTTGGCCACAAGATGACGACAAAGGAGGGACCAGGACAAGAAAAAAAGAGCGGATGAGAAATATCAAGACATCTCAAGAAGACAGGAAGCAGATAAGTGGAGGTGACTTAGTCCAGGTTACCAAGCCCCAATGACAGGAGAGGAGCATCCTGTGTAAATACCCAGTTCCTGCTTCAGAAGTGTGGATCCGAAAATGGGTTGAAAGCTAGAGGACTGACAGAAAGTCTACATGAGGAACAGCTGGAGCCATGGGCTGGTTCCACAATGCACCCTCTGCCTTCTACTCTCTCCAGAAACTGAGGCAGAGGGGCTTAGGGCTCCAGGATAACAGACACACTGTGAGGCACATGAGAGGCTAAAGTGAACATCTACAACCTCTACTAACCCCTGTCTCTTCTGTGCTCCCAGAGTCCCTTGCAGTTCAGAGGTCCACAGTGAACAGCACTCAACCAACACAAGTTGAATTAAAGACACAGTGAAAACTCAGAAATGTAAGATAATACAAAATACTTCCAGAAAAATGGGGCAAAGGATGACATGAAAAAGGTAACAAGCTGGACTCGGCTCGGTCTGTAATCCCAACGCTTTGGGAGGCCGAGGTGAGTGGAATGCCTAAGCCCGTGGGTTTGAGATCCGCCTGGGCAACTTGACAAGACCTCATCTCTACAACAAATCAAAAACTAGCCAGGTGTGGTAGCGCGCGCCTGTAGTTCCAGCTACTTGGAAGGCTGAGGCAGAAGGATCGCCGGAGCCCAGGAGGTTGAGGCTGCGGTGGCCGGGAGCGGCCACTGCACTCCAGTCTGGATGACAGAGTGAGATTCCAACTCAAAAAAAAAAAGAAAAGAAAAAGGTAACAGCATGTTAAAGTCTTTGAGGAAGACTTCCAGGTTAAAATGAAGTTGTAGCTTTTGTTATATTTTCATCATTTTAGGTTAGTCCATGAAAGTTAGCTAACTCTGTCCTAAAACCTAGGGCCATTTACTTATTATTATTTTTTTTTGAGTTGAGTCTCAATCTGTCTCCCAGGCTGGAGTGCAGTGTACGTAGGGCCATTTTAAAAAGTGACAGGTCAGGCACAGTGGCTCACACTTGTAATCCCAGCACTTTGGGAGGCCAAGGCAGGAGGATTGCTTGAGGTCAGGAGTTCAAGATCAACCTGGGAAACATAGCAAGACCCTGTCTTTTATTTTATTTTATTTGAGTTGGAGTCTCACTCTGTCGCCCAGACAGGAGTGCAGTGGCCGCTCCCAGCCACCGCAGCCTCGACCTGCTGGGCTCCGGCGGTCCTTCCGCCTCAGTCTTCCAAGTAGCTGGAACTACAGGTGCGCGCTACCATGCCCGGCTAATTATTTTTTGATTTATTGTAGAGATGAGGTCTCGCCAAGTTGCCCAGAGGGATCGCGAACCCGCAGGTTCAGGCAATCCACTCAACTCAGCCTCCCAAAGTGCGGGATGACAGGCTGAGCCACTGAGCCCGGCTAAGACCCTGTCTTTTATTTATTTATTATTATTTTTTTTATCTTTGAGTTGGGGTCTCACTCTGTCACCCAGACTGGAGTGCAGTGGCCGCTCCCGGCCACCGCAGCCTCGACCTGCTGGGCTCCGGCAATCCTTCCGTTTCAGCCTTCCAAGTAGCTGGAACTACAGGCATGCGCTACCACGCCCGGCTAATTTTTGATTTATTGTAGAGATGAGATCTCGCCAAGTTGCCCAGGCGGGTCTCGAACCCGTGGGCTCAGGCAATCCTCTCACCTCAGCCTCCCAAAGGCGTGGGATTACAGGTTGAGGCACCGAGCCCGGCTGACCCTGTCTTTTAAAACAACAACAAAAACAGTAAAAAAGATGGAGGAATCATGTAAGAGTATATATTTATGGACATAAAACATTTAAATAAGTTACTCAGGCTCACTGGGCTAGAGGTTTGTTAGATGTGATAATGTTTTGACTACTGAGAAAATGTTATTTTACAGAGATGCATACTGAAGCATTTAGTAGTGGGAATGTCATGATATATATAATTTACTGTGAATAACTGAGTAATCCAGCTTTAAAACAGTTAACCTGACAATTAATCTGGCTCTGCACAGAGCCAGGACAGATTTATTTAGAGAGCAGAGGGCAGGGGCAAGCACAGTCTCTTTTCAGCAGACATGCGTTTGACTTTTGCTCCACCATTTACCAGCTTCAATTTTCCTCTCGGCCTGTGCTTACGAGATTATATCCTCCATGTAAACCAAGGCTTGGGTCCTGAGAACTGCTTGGTAAGTTGTATGACTATATTCTGAGAGGTGATTTATCAGCAAGCGTGGATGGAAATAACACATCTGATTAAGGCTTAACTGCTCTGCAACACCCCTATGTTTCTGGTGTCGATTATAACAGGAAAAACTGCCTATGCCACTTTGCCATCTCTTACAAATTGTGGTAAGTAGTTCAGAACCATAAATATCAGCAGAATGATATTGAACGAGGCATGCTCTACTGTTTATCTTTAGAATCCAAAGACTCATGCTCATTTAAGTTTTACTTAAGCATATATAGAACAATGACTTCTGAACATCTAATTTCTAAACATATTATGGTGTCTTAGAAAAAGCAGGAATTGGCTGGGTACAGTGGCTCATGCCTGTAAACCCAGCACTTTGGGAGGCAGAGGCGAGAGGACTGCCTGAGCCCAGGGGTTCGAGACTAGCCTGGGAAACTTGGTGAGACCTCATCTCTACAATAAGTAAACAAAAATTTAGCTGGGAGCGGTGGCCTGTGCTTTGAGTTCCAGCTACTAGGAAGGCTGAGGCGGAAGGATCACCTGAGCCCATCAGGTCGAGGCTGCAGTAGCCGTGAGCATGCCACTGTACTCCAGCCTGGGCGACAGAATGAGACTCCTACTCAAAAAAAGAAACAAAAGAAAAAAAATGGAATTTAAAAATAGACTTACTGCTGGGTGGGGTGGGTCACACCTGTAATCCCAGCACTTTGGGAACTAAGGCAGGAGGACAGCTTGAGGCCAGGAGTTCAAGACCAGCCTGGTCAACACAGTGAGATCCTTCTTAAAAAATTATTTTAAATTAAAAAACAAAAAAGCCAAACGTGATGGCACACATCTGTAGGCCCAGCTACTCAGATGGCTGAGGTGGGAGGACTGTTTGAGCCCAGGAGTTCAAGGCTGCAGCGAGCCAGGATTGTGCCACTGCACTCCAACCTGGGCAACAGAGCAAGACCGTCTCAAAAAACAAACACAAACACAAAACCCAAAACAGTCTTTATGCAATATTTAGAAAAGCAATATTTCTCATTATCAGGAATCCAACGTAAAGAACAAAGGCATGAGGGATGCATCCGGAATATAAATGTTTAAATTTGGGTGCATGTATATGGGGAGGGTCAGGAAAACCAAACCGGCGGTGTTCGTGGTGGCCACATTTTCTGACTCACCTTAATCTGCTCCATAAGGATGGCATTGGTTGCTTCCGTTTCCCGAAGAAGGCCATTTAAGTGATCTGCACTTTTTGTGGTGGAACTGAGCTTCTGAACCAATTCTTCTTTGGTGAGTTCAGCATGCCATAAAGGAGGCTCTGCAAGATGTTGTTCCAAGAATTAATTTTCAAAATCAGTGATTACAAAGATTCAAAATAAGAAAAACTCTAATTTTTACAAGCCCTATGGTCCCAGCTCCGAAATCTGTCAGTAATGCATTTTTACACCCTATCATTAGTCTCACTACACATCCTCTTTCCACCTACTAATGTTCCAAGAACATATGAGATTTCACTTACAAACGAGGGAAGCATTAGCATTCACTGGTTACTTGTATCATGGGCCTGCATAAGAATCTTCTATGAGCCAGGCTTGGTGGCTCACCCTGTAATCCCGCGCCTTGGGGAGGCTGAGGTGAGTGGATCGCCTGAGCCCATGGGTTCGAGACCCGCCTGGGCAGCGAGACCTCATCTCTACAATAAATCAAAAAATCGGCTGGGCATGGTAGCGCATGCCTGTAATTCCAGCTACTTGGAAGGCTGAGGCGGAAGGATCGCCGGAGCCCAGCAGGTCAAGGCCGGGAGCGGCCACTGCACTCCAGTGTGGGTGAAAGAGTGAGACTCCAACTCAAAAAAAAAAAAAAGACTCTTCTATGAAGTAGGATACGTATCATTATTCCAACTTGATAGATGAGGAAGAAGCAGGCTCAGAGTCAACAAGTAGTTCTGGCAAAAGTTACCAAGCCAAGTCTGCCGTCAAGGCTGCTGCCACTCTGTCATGATGTCTCCACGTCACCAAAACTAACTTGGAGTGAAGGAACCATGACTTGCAGTCTCTACCCCACATAGTCAGTGACCGTGAGTACAAATGGCCCTCGCTTCTGGTTCTAGGTGATCCCAAAACCAGAAAGATGATAGTTCCCCCTGAATTAGGAACAGTGATATTCATGGCAGGTAACGGTAAAACACACCAGAACTTCACGAGTTTGCACTCAGATGTCCCCTGAGGGGACATAAAAAGATTGCTGGTGATTGTACAGAAAAACTTATGCCAGTGCAAATTTTTCAAAAACGACATGTTTCCTTGAAGATTTACATTCAAACTGCATGAAAAGGCAAACAAAGAGATGGAATTTATACTGAGACAGGATTCATCAGTTGAGAAGTGGTTTTTAGGAATCATGAGTATGTCCGTCCACACTGTCTTTGAACAACAGACTGCACCATAAATTGTATATTACTAATGTGCATGAATAGAAGAACACCAGGTAGAAGACGTCAAACAAATGACTATTCCCCAACCTGTTATCAGTGAACCTGCAATGTATGCTGGTGACTATTTCACGTTATCACATATTTTAAGATATAAAATTTTGATTTTCATAAATAAGTTCCTCAATGTCCAAAATTCCTATATAAGCCAAGTATCATTACAATGTAATGACTGGTTCCAACGCTAAACTATTTAATATGAAGTGATTCGTTTTTCACTATTTGTAAACAAGTGAGGTCGAATTGCTGGTAGGTGATCCGTGAGATGTCTCCGAGTGCAAAGGGTTAATAAGGCAAATTTAGCAAGAGGAATAAACCGAAATTGTGAGCTTCTTGGGAGGTGAGAGAATAGTTTATCCTACTTCCTAATACCTCTGTAGAAACTCCAACCACCTATTTCTGGTTCAAGCTAGTGCAAAGTTAACATTTTATTTTAAAAAAGACTTGTTTCATAAATTTTCCATTTGAAGAGATAGTGGAATACTGAAAGAAATTTTACTGGAGCAGCGCAAAAAAGTATATATAATTTAGACAAATCTGAAATTAAATAAGAATTCAGTTAAACAAAACTGTGAAATTAAATAGGATAAACAAATTCATACAGAGCACCATACCAAGTTTAGTTTCAGGAGAATTAAGCAGCTGCTCTAAAGACTGTGTGTGCGTGCTAGCGGAAGACACAGACTCAGTATCCGTCGTCTCCATGCCTTCTCCCTCTTCCCGGGTCACAGTGTGCATGTCCAGAAGGGGAAGGTCTGTGTTTCTCCTTTCTCGAAGGTTCTTCGAAGCTTGATGGGAAGAAGCTGGGCCTGTTACATTTTTTAAAAAGAAGGGTAAGTGTGAGATTGTTCCAAAATCAATGGATACAGCCTTAACGGAGATACACAGTAAAATTAAAATGTCAAGTGACTTTGCAACCTGCCTGGGCAACTTGGCGAGACCTCATCTCTACAATAAATCAAAAAAATTAGCTGGGCGTGGTAGCGTGCGCCTGTAGTTCCAGCTACTTGGAAAGCTGAGGTGGAAGGATCGCCGGAGCCCAGCAGGCCGAGGCTGCAGTGGCTGGGAGCATGCCACTGCACTCCAGTCTGAGTGAGTGAGACTCTAACTCAAAAAAAAAAAAGTCAAGTGACAAGTAAAAGGTGTATGAAGAAAGAACTGCTAAAACAGTTCTTAAAATTTAGTCACTAAACTTTTTTCTTGTTGTTTAGTTGGAGTCTCACTCTGTCGCCTAGGCTGGAGTGCAGTGGCACCATGGCCACCGCAGCTACGACCTGCTGGGTTCAGGTGATCCTTCCACCTCAGCCATCCAAGCAGCTGGAACTACAAGCACATGCCAGTATGCCTGGCTAATTTTTTGATTTATTATAGAGATGAGGTCTCGCCAAGTTGCCCAGGCTGGTCTTAAAACCCTGGGCTCAGGCAATCCTCTAGCTTCCATCTCCCAAAGTGCTGGGAGTATACAGGTGTGACCCATCGCATCTGGCTTGCTTAGTCACTGAAATTTTAACCACTTAGTTTTAGCAGAAGCTATAAATTAAGTGCTACTAGCTAGCTAATATAAACTCTTAGATAACACAAAACTCAATACTGTATTACTTATTATTTTTTGAGTCGGAGTCTCACTCTGTTGCCCTGGCTGGAGGGCAGTGGCATGTTCGTGGCCACCGCAGCCTCGACCTGCTGGGCTCAGACGATTCTTCCACCTCAGCCTTCCAAGTAGCTGGAACTATAGGCATGTGTCACCATGCCCGGCTAATTTTTCTTGATCTTTGTAGTGAGGAGATCTCGTCAAGTTGCCCAGGCTGGTCTCGAACCTGTGGGCTCAGGCAATCCTCTCACCTCGGCCTCCCAAAGTGCTGGGATTATAGACGTGAGCCACCATGCCAGGCCTAGTATTATTATTTTTATTAATTCAGGGCAAAGGTCATACTGTTGCTAAATACTGGTAAAAAAGAAAAAACTAGATATATTTGTTTCTCTGGATTAGACACTTCCGATGGCCGCACACTTCCAGACTCAGCACACAGCCTGAAGTCGGCTCACCAGACATTCTTGATCAGTGCCCTATGCCCTTCACCTCTGATGGTAACACTGCCACACGTGCCTGCAGTGTTCAGACAAGAGTCCAACATCCAGTGCAGGAAACTAATCATGTACATTGTCTGGACAAGGCTTTCCTGCTTGCGAACAGTGACATAAGTAGTTGCACAGAACTGTAAAGTTTATAAGATATTTTCAAATACATCAGTTTACTGACCCCCCAAATTTGAAGCTTAGAGAAATGTAATGACTTTGCTCAAGGTCTCATAGCTGAGTTAGAAATCAGAATTCTAACCTAGATTTTTCAACTTCAAATTTCATTTTTTGTTTTTGAGTTGGAGTGTCACTCTGTTGCCCAGACTGGAGTGCAGTAGCCGCTCCCGGCCACCGCAGCCTCGACCTGCTGGGCTCCAGTGATCCTTCCACCTCAGCCTTCCAAACATCTGGAACTACAGGCGTGCGTTACCACGCCCGGTTGATTTTTGATTTATTGTAGAGATGAGGTCTCGCCAAGTTGCCCAAGGCAGGTCTCGAACCTGCGGGCTCAGGCAATCCACTCACCTCAGCCTCCCAAAGGTGCGGGATTACAGGTTGAGCCACTGAGCCTGGCAAATTTCATTTTTTTTTTTTTGAGTTGGAGTCTCACTCTGTCACCCAAATTGGAGTGCAGTGGCCACTTCTGCTTCCCACCACTGCAGCCTCGACCTGCTGGGCTCCGGTGATCCTTCTGCCTCAGCCTTCCAAGTAGCTGGAACTACAGGCGCTACCATGCCCAGCTAACATTTTGATTTATTGTGGAGATGAGGTCTTGCCAAGTTGCCCAGGCGGGTCTCGAACCCGCGGGCTCAGGCATTCCACTCACCTCGGCCTCCCAAAGTGCTGGGATTACAGGCTGAGCCACCAAGCCTGGCTTCAAATTTCATTTATTTTCCATTCCATGAACTTGCCTCCCTGTCCTTTCAAACCTTAGTTAGCCCCCTGGTTGCCCTTTGTGGGGTTTTGATATTCCACTGACTGCTTGTTACATGGCTGACTCCTAGATTATAATCTCTTGTGTGACCTGTTTTTCCCTGGTTGAGTACTTCTTCTGTTGACTCTTGGCATATGTTAAACTCTCCTGAAATTGGTTTCTGACCCTGACAAATGATCTGTGGCCGCCAATGCTTCAGTGATAGTATTTTCCATGGGAAAGAAAACACGATCAGCTTACTGCTAAAATACAGCCCAGTCATTCCCATCTCTTCCTGGAAGTAGGAAGGATGATACTGGGTGTGGTTAAACTAAAATGCCACTTTGTTAGAAATGTGAAAGGGAAGAAGATGAATTGGCCAAGCAATTCTACAAGTTCCATGCACACTGAGTATTTCTAAGCCTCTTGCTCTCTCTCTAATGTTTCCAATATAGATCTATTTGACGACTAACAATGGAGAACCCCAAAGAGATCTGGTCAATATCAGAATTAGGACACATGTCATGAGACGAACAGAATATATTTAAGTCAGAGAAAAATAAATGCTCCTTTTACATGAAGGGCAATAAATAAGGGAATGAAAATGGAAAGTCAGTATACAAAGTAGTTGTGTAGATTTCTGTGAGGATAATCAGGAAGGGATCAGATGGTTCAAATGTCTTCCTGGTAAGCAGATCCAAAACTCATTAATCACAAAACTGACGCTGGTTACCACCTTGCTCCTCTTCTCTTTCTTATGAATTTATGAAGACTGTATGTAACACAAACACATAAAAAACAAACACTCCCACAGGTGCACACATACTTCTTGCGGTGGGTTCGTTCCTGAGCTGGAAGAGCTGTGCTTCCACCTTGGAGAGCTGCTGCTGTAAAGTCTCCACCGTCTTTCTGTGCTCTTCCTGCAAATGTCGCACTTGATCTCGGAAGCTGTTTCGAAGAACCTCGTTCTGGGATGTTAGTTGACTCACAGTCTGTGCATGTTCAGACTTCATCATCATGTTCTCTGACTGTATTGAACACAGTCTGAAAGGTGAGAGGAATTTAGTTAATAGAAAACCTTTTAGCCTTACGTGCGGACTCAGCCTTTGTCAACTGGGTTCTGCCAGAGGATTAGCTCTAACACCTCTCCTGAATGTATGGACCACCAGCTTGTCTCCTAAATATCTACAATGTACTAGTTGTGTAACAACCCGGGGAGAACTGCCACTGGCTATTCAGTAGTTCAAGTCATTTTCTGTGTTCCACAGTTAAAGATGAAGAACCTCAGTCAGAAACTGTTGTATTTAGACAAGGAACTTCTTTCATGGTTCATCAAAAATAAGACTATAGGTGGGCGTGAGGGCTCCTGCCTGTAATCACAGAACCTTGGAAGGCTGAGGTGAGAGGACTGCCTAAGCCCATGGGTTCAAGACCAGCCTGGACAACTTGGCGAGACCTCGTCTCTACAATAAATCAAAAAATTAGCTGGGTGTGGTGGCGCATGCCTGCAGTGCCAGCTACCTGGAAAGCTGAAGCGGAAGGATTGCCTGAGCCCAGCAGGTCGAGGCTGCAGTGGCTGTGAACGTGCCACTGCACTCTAGCCTGGGTGACAAGAGTGAGACTCCTACTCAAGAAAAGAAAAAGAAAGAATAAAAAAGAAAGAAGACTATATTTAGAGCATAAAATAATTAAACTTTTAATTAGTCCACTTCTTCACGTTACCCTATGTGGTATCTCACATAAATACAATTGGTCTCCCTTTTCTCTATTACCCTGAAAAAAAAAATCAACTCTACTTTCTTTTTATTTATAAAAAAAACTTAAAGGAAAATACCCATTTTTGAATCAATTAATATGAAATACTTAGACAGAGACTTGGTTTACTATGGCTGTTTCCAAATCTCACTGCATATAAGAATCACTGGGGTAACTTGTTGAAAATATAGACATCTAGTTTTCATGTTACAGCCAATTGAATCAGAATTTCCAGTAGCGGTTCTAGGAATAGCCTATTTTTAGCTTCAAATGAGATTTTTATGCAGTCAGTCTGAAACTTCACTGAGAGCCAAAACTTTTTTTTTTTTGAGTAGGAGTCTCACTCTGTCGCCCAGGCTGGAGAGCAGTGGCACGCTCATGGCCACTGCAGTCTCAGCCTGCTGGGCTCAGGTGATCCTTCCTCCTCAGCTCCCACCTGTAATTCCAACATTTTGGGAGGCGGAGGCGAGAGGATTGCCTAAGTCCACGTGTTCGAGACCAGCCTGGGCAACTTGGTGAGACCTCATCTCTACAATAAATACAAAAATTAGCTGGGTGTGGTGGCATACGCTTGTGGTTCCAGCTACTTAAAAGGCTGAGGCAGAAGAATCACTTGATGCCAGTAGGTCATGGTTATGGTGACCGTGAGTGTGCCACTGTACCCAAGCCTGGGTGACAGAGGGAGACTCTAACTCAAACAAAACAAAACAAAACAAAATCTACCAAGAAAGTAAAGGAAGAGCGATTAGCCATCACAATAATTTTCTAAGGAGGATAAAAATTGTATTTTACAAGCCGGGCTCGGTGGCTCAGCCTATAATCCCGTGCCTTTGGGAGGCTGAGGTGAGTGGATTGCCTGAGCCCGCGGGTTCGAGACCTCATCTCTACAATAAATAAAAAATTAGCTGGGCGTGGTAGCGCATGCCTATAATTCCGGCTACTTGGAAGGCTGAGGCGGAAGGATCGCCGGAGCCCAGCAGGTCGAGGCTGCGGTGGCTGGGAGCGGCCACTGCACTCCAGTCTGGGCGACAGAGTGAGACTCCAACTCAAAAAAAAAAAAAAAAATTATATTTTACAGGAAGGGTAAAGCTTCTAGTTTTGGGGCAGTATCAATGACACTGAAGAATTTACCTACTTGAATGCTAGATGCTGAAACCCCCAACTGGAAGGGGAATAGTTGTGCTGATAGAAGTTCACTGTTCTCAATTGTTACTGGGGTGGTTACATTAATTGAAGCCTCTGGATAATGCAGATACTAACTGGTTGGCCTAATTACCACATTCCTCAGAAGCCATTTTCACCTTCCCATGCAGAGAAGGCATGAATATTAAAATATTTTAAAAAGTAGAGACTGTTTAAAAAAGGTTGTTTCTTCATACTTGGGCACAGAGAGTAGCAATAAATGTTAGTTTTTAATATAAAGAAGAAGAAAGGAAGACACTTAAAGATGTCACAAAATGCTAAGTTTCTAGTACTTAGAAGAGTGATTGGCACACAATAGGTGCTCAAAAAATATTTACTAAATGATTCAATTACTTTAGAGGCATCAATTATACTTTATTTGTGAAAGCAATGTAATGTGTAATAATTTTTCTAAGTAAAGAATTGTTGGAAATTTCGGATATAAATATCAAGCAAGCACCAGTAGTTTTAAGAAAACTGGTAGATCTTCCCTGAAACTTTTGGTTTACATGATTAACAAGAAATTATATTGCTTATTTATTTATTTATTTATTTATTTGTAGAAATGAGGTCTCACTAAGTTGCCCAGGCTGATCTTGAACCCGTGGGCTCAGGCAATCCTCTCACCTCAGCCTCCCAAAGTGCTAGGATTATAGGCATGAGCCACTGTGCCTGGCCAGAAATTATACTGTTAATAGATAATTAAGTCAAGAAAACCTAAGTGCTTTCAGTTTTCAGGTTAGCATATCAGATTAGACATGCATTAAAAGCATATCTGCGATGAAGAATCTTAACATCCTTGATGAAAGATGCTCAATGAAGAATTCCTTTCCTCAGTATAAGATAAAATACTACCACCCAATTCCTTTATCATGGGAGATCAAAGTTTTTTGTTTATAATAATCTATTTACATTGCCAATATTCCTAGCATCTATTTAAAGTATTATAACGATTGATAAAATATGACAAATTTAAGACACAGTTGTGAAGATAAATTGCATATTCTTTTTCACTCAGCAGCTATTTGAATGATTTCCTCTAGGAAGAAAAATGCTTATAACTTGACATCTGGGTTGAAAGGTGATTTTTTTTTTTTAAGAACATCCTGGCCATGAGGATACATGGCAGGAAGAATATTGGATGAGCAGATAAACATTAATTGTTCTTAAAAATGCAAAACTCAGCCAGGCTCGGTGGCTTAGCCTGTAATCCCGTGCCTTTGGGAGGCTGAGCTGAGTGTACTGCCTGAGCCCGCGGGTTAGAGACCCGTCTGGGCAATTTGACAAGACCTCATCTCTACAATAAATAAAAAATCAGCCAGGCGTGGTAGCGTGCGCCTGTAGTTCCAGCTACTTGGAAGGCTGAGGTGGAAGGATCGCCAGAGCCCAGCAGGTCGAGGCTGCGGTGGCCATTGCACTCCAGTCAGGGTGACAGAGTGAGACTCCAACTCAAAAAAAAAAAGCAAAACTCAAATGTAATCCAAAGGGGAGGGGCTCAAAGTAGATAAAGCAAAGTTACCAAGTCTTTAGATATGTCTACTTGTTATTTTCAAATCTATATTTATCCCAAGGACCAATACATCAGAAGCTCCAACAAAGAAATATGTTGCTGCCTGGTGTAGTGTTAGTGCTTCCAGCATTCTTACTTTTCCCGGAGTTCTGCCTCTTTGGATACGGTTTCCTGCAGCATCTTGTTGTGCCTTTCTAGGAGAGTATCATGTTCAGTCTGTAATGTTTGAAGTTCAGATGCACTGATCTGTAAGTTATTCTGGCTATCTTGTAATTTGATTTTTAGTTGATCAATCAGCATTTCCAGATGTTCCCTAAAATAGAAACACACAGTTTAAAAAAAATTTTTTAAAGAAGTGAATCTGAGCCGGGCTGGGTGGCTCAGCCTGTAATCCTGCGCCTTTGGGAGGCTGAGGTGAGTGGATATTGCCTGAGCCCGCGGGTTCGAAACCCACCTGGGCAAACTGGTGAGACCTCATTTCTACAATAAATCAAAAATTAGCCAGGCATGGTAGCGTGTGCCTGTAGTTCCAGCTACTTGGAAGGCTGAGGCGGAAGGATTGCCGGAGCCCAGCTGGTCGAGGCTGCGGTGGCCGGGAGCAGCCACTGCACTCCAGTCTGGGCAACAGAGTGAGACTCCGACTCAAAAAAATATATAAATAAATAAAGAAGTGAATCTGATATTGCGGCTTCAAAGATATTTTGATCATTTAATCTTTCATAGCATATTCTTGCTATTATTATGGATGATTCTAAATGAAATATAATAATCATAGGAGGTCAAGACTAGGATTAAATATAATACAAAAGATGTTACAGTCAGATTTCAAATATCAGGTCCTAAAGACTTACAAAACTCTAAAAAAATTTTTTAAACTTCATATTCAAAGAGTAGACCATTAAGTGGCATTGAAATAGCTTTTTTTTTTTTTGAGTCAGTGTCTCACTGTCACCCAGGCTGGAGTGCAGTGACACACTGCTCACAGCCACCGCAGCCTTGATCTGCTGGCTCAGGCGATCCTTCTGCCTCAGTCTTTCATGTAGCCGGAACTACAGGTACATGCCTCCATGCCCGGCTAATTTTTTTTTTTTTACTTATTGCAGAGATGAGGTCTCACCAAGTGCCCAGGCTGGTCTCGAATCTATGGGCTAAGGCAATCCACTGACCTCAGCCTCCCAAAGTGCTGGGATTACAGGCTGAGCCACCGAGCCCGGCCAAAATAGCTTATTTTATGTTATGGAATTATGTGTTTAAAAAAAAAACATATAATTCTAGGTTAACTGTTATGAGAATGGCTATGCCAGATCAAGTTACAGTAAAAGATAATCCCCAAAGAAAAGCAATAGGTCTTTTCAGACTCGTAATAAATAGTTAAAACCCACAATTCGGTCACTATTAAAACAATATACTATTAGCTTCTCTTTTTTGGGGGGGGGTCAGAGTCTCACTCTGTCATCCAGGCTGGAGTGCAATGGCACATTCACGGCCACCCTAGTGTCAACATGCTGGGTTCAGGCGATCCTTCTGCCTCAGCCTTCCAAGTAGCTGGAACTACAGGCATGCATTAACATGCCTGGCTAATTTTTGAGTTATTGTACAGATCTTGCCAAGTTGCCCGGGCTGGTCTTGAACCCGCAGGCTCAGGCAATCCACTTGCCTTGGCCTCCCAAAGTGTTGGGATTACAGGCTGAGCCATTGAGCCTGGCCAGCTTCTTCTTTCTTTTTTTAAGTATTTAATTTAAAAGAAAGTAGAAGGAGCATAAAACATTTACATTCAAATAATTTGAACCCATAATTTAAGCATGGTCAACAACGACACTTGCAAGTGGTGACATTTTATGTTTACTAATAAGTCAATATTCAACTTCAGTTTCACACTGGGCTATTGGAGAGAAAAACTTCATTATGTTTCAATCTATAGTCTCCATATTTAATAGATCCCTAAACAAAAGTAACAGAAGCCTAAGCACACAAACAATGCGAATAATGAGTTTCAGAACAGTAGGAGACACATATCAAAGTGCTTTGAATACTGAACCTCTAGTCAAAGACAAAATACACATGCCAAGGAATGCCCTAGCTATCTCTTGTTCCCAACATATTTTTGAATAATTTCCAAAAGGGATCTGTATGCTAGTTTCTTTTTCTTTCTTTTTGCTCGGGTCTTACTCTGTCACCCAGGCTGGAGTACAGTGGCATGATCACAGCTCACTGCAACACTGACCTCCTGAGCTCAGGCAATCCTTCTGTCTCAGTCTCCTGAGTAGTTGGGACTACAGGCACATGCCACCACATCTGGCTAATTAAAAAATTTTTTTTGTAGAGACAAGGTCTCACTCTGTTGTCTAGTCTGGTTTCAAACTGCTGGGCTCAAGCAATCCTCCCACTTCAGCCTCCCAAAGTGCTGAGATGACAGATGTGAGCCACTGTGCCCAGCCTATAATGCAATTTTAATGCCCATATTTCAGAGACCATATCCTGGCTTCACTGTTCACTTTAACATCTTTTTGCAACAGTGCCCTTCATAGTGAAATTTCCCTGTTACTGTTTGGAGACACGGTGAAGCCAAGGAATTCTGTTCTCATTGGCAATTATATGCAGAATTCTACAACTGAGACATCAAAGTAGGGTTTTCCATCTATTTGGTGAAGAATCTGCACTACCCAGAAGAAACCCTGCATGTTTCTTTTAATTTAGACTTTACCTTTCTTGTTTAGCTCCCTCAGTTTCAGCCTGAGACACAGATTTATTTTTCTGTTGTTTTAGAACGTTATGAACTCGGACTTTGTAGCTCTCGAATTCAGAGGTTATAGTAGCTTGTTCTGCCTATGATATTTAAAAGAGAGAACAAATTTCTATTATAACATAATCCTATTTTCTTTCAGAGATTACAAGATAAAAACCTGTTTTTGAAAGTGAAGAAAACAGCTGACATTCTTTTTAGCACCCTGATTAACTTTGCTAAAAAGTACACTTCTGTTCATGTTACACTTATGAAAATAATTTTAAAAAAACAAACACAATTGTGCTTATTTATGAGGTACACATGGCATTTTGAAACATGTATATAATGTATAATTAGCAAATCAGGGTAATTCAGATATCCATCACTCAAACATTCATCAATTCTTTGTGTTGGCAGAACTTATACTTTTTCAAAGCCTTTCAATAATAAACTTGTTTTCAAAGTACGGTGGGATAAATGTTAGGTTCTAGAGTTTTCACTTTCTACAACATCCCTTATATAAGAGCCACACCTTTAAGACAATTGTACTATGTCTATTTTGCATGTTGATGATAAGAAAGCAGATCTCCACCACCATTCTGCTAGAATGTTATTTTATAATCATTTAGCCCTCAGAAAGAACTGTAATGCTTTTCTTTCTTTTCTTTTCTTTTTTTGAGTTGGAGTCTCACTCTGTCGCCCAGGCTGGAGTGCAGTGGCACGCTCCTGGCCACCGCAGCCTCGACCTGCTGGGCTCCGGCGATCCTTCCGCCTCAGCCTTCCAAGTAGCTGGAACTACAGGCGTGCGCTACCACGCCCGTTGAGTTTTTTTTATTATAGAGACGAGGTCTCGCCAAGTTGCCCAGGCGGGTCTTGAACCTGTGGACTCAGGCAATCCACTCACCTCAGCCTCCCAAAGTACGGGATTACAGGCTGAGTCACCGAGCCTGGATGGTTCTTTTTTTTTTTCTGAATTGGAGTCTCACCGATGCCTAGACTGGAGTGCAGTGGCATGCTCCTGGTCACTGGAGCCTCGACCTGCTGGGCTCTGGCGATCCTTCTGCCTCAGTCTTCCAAGTAGCTGGAACTACAGGTGTGCACTACCATGCCTGGCTAACTTTTGATGTATTGTAGAGACGAGGTCTCACCAAGTTTCCCGGGTGGGTCTCGAACCCGCAGGCTCAGGCAATTCCATCGCCTCGGCCTCTCAAAATGCTGGGATAACAGGCTGAGCCACCGAGCTCAACCCTGTAATGCTTTTCTAATTAAAAAAGTTTTACACGAGAGATTTTCTTACACATATAAATTGCAAAACAAGGATTAAATGGAAAAAAACATGTTTTTCCTTTTAGCAAAAAAAAGCAATCCAAGTGATGGCTATGGTTGGCATGGGGTTGGGGTTAGAGTCAGATGAAGTGAATCAGGTCTTAATCTAGTAAGTGTTCTTGACAGCAAATCACTAAAAAGAGAGTGTACAACCATGGCGCAAGCTGTTCACTAGCTGATGGTCAAATCCCTGCGGCTCACCACGGCTGCTCTGGAGCACACACCTTGGCCGCATGGCTCTCCTCCTGCAACGCTGTCACTCTCTGCTGGTACGCGCTCAGTGTGCGCTGGTGCTGTTCCGCAGAGGTCTTCAGGTGCTCATGGATTTTGTGCTTCTCAGATGTTACTTCAGCCAACTGAATCTAGGGGCAAATCTTTAAATTAGCTCTAGCAAATCAGATCTTCATTGGTCAAAGAGATTTTCCGTAAGACACCAACTCGAGGTTTGAGAGATAAATATATATGAGACAAAATTAATGAAATAGTCTTATGTGCTATTTTAAAAAAAATTTTTCTTTTAAAGATGTGGGGTACAATTCAGGGTTAGGTAAGCCAGTGTTCATTATGCAGGTACCCTTGTTTCTTATGTGCTATTACTGAAAGAGTAGAGACAATGAATAGAACTTCCCACTAAAATAAGCTAATTTACTTTTTCTTAAACCAACATCAATTAAAAAAAAATGAAAATATCCCAGACTATATATTTAATGAATGCTTATTTAAATACCTCAAGACATTACATATAAATGTAAATAAGCAAATATAAAATCATTTTATAAACTGCTACTTGTGACTGCAAAATCACCCAGGAAGTTCAAATATTTGATTATTTTATTTTGCACTATTCTTTTTTTTTTTGAGTCAGAGTCTCCTTCTGTCCCCCAGGCTGGAATGCAGTGGCACATTTATAGCCACTGCAGCCTCAAACCGCTGAGCTCAGATGCTCCTTCCGCCTCAGCCTTCCGAGTAGCTGCTGGAACCCCAGGCGTGTGCTCTCGCGCCCGGCTGACTGACGTGTTTGAGAGACGCGGTCTGCCAAGGTGGCTGGTCTCGAACTCCTCAGCTCAGGCCACCCTCTCGCCTCGGCCTCCCAAAGTGTGAGGGTCACACAGGTGTGAGTCACTGTGCCCCACTGTTTTGCACTATTCTATAATATATGATGAATTCTAGACTATATTATGAATTTCTATAATGTATTATGAGTATATGAAAATCTAGCTGGAGTTAAAGAATATGCTCCAGTTACATGCCACACTTGATTTACTGCTTCTACTTCCTCAAAATGTTGAGGAATCTTTGTAAGTATTCTTAAACCTTACAGAATAATTGCAAAACTCCCTAAATGGTATCTTACTTCTACGTGGAATTATTTTTTAAAAATCTTAAGAAGTATAAAGAACTTACTTTATAGACTTCTACTTGCTGCTGGCTTGCCTCCAGCTCACCCTTTAAAGATGCTTGAAGTATTAAGTGATCAGTTTCCTACAGAATAAAAATCTTTAAATTAAAAAAAGCTACTCATAAATAAACTATGAATAATTACTAAATATGCACCAAAAATTAACATACTGCTTGCTTTGAGTCTGCCAGTTCTTTTTTGGTTTTCACAAGTAATTGCTTGATTTTGGCATTTTTTTCCTCATATTGTTGTACTGAAGACTGCAGTGAAGCTGGTAAAAAACGATTTCAGAAAAAGATGAAACAGTATTTATGAATGAATTTAAATACAAGAATGACAAGTATCTCCTTGTATTAACTTACCTTTAAAAGAAACCTGTTTTGGCTTTTTATTGTGGAATATTTAACCATATGTGACAGTACAATAACCATCTTGCAGATTTAACAATTACCAGCACACAGCCAGTCTGACCACAGTCAGATCAGGCATCAGCAAAGCACTGAAGAGATGTTTAAGTGAATGAATGTGGTCCACACACATCTTAAAGGCAAATGACTTTATGACCCTTCTGGTCCTCAATGGCGTTTAGCACTGTGTAACACCTGACTGGAGTTACATACTGGCGAAATAAACAACTAATGCCCCCCATTCAATTACCATAGAATAATTGTAAGATGAAGTATGAAGTAAATTTTTTTAACTCACTTATTTCTTCTTGTAGATTTTCTTGTTTCTGTTTTTGAATTTTTATTTCTTGCTCCAAATCGTCTATCTTGCTGTTTTTATTAGTTAACTTTTGATTTAGTTCTTTCATCAAACGTTCATAATCTGCTATTTCCATATTCATCAATGTGGTTTGTTGGGCATCCTGCATTTTACAAATTCGCGTAATGTTAGAGCAGCTAATTTCATTTGTAAAATGACTAGAATGATGTCATAGGAATAAATGAGTTTTATCATGCATCTTTGTAATATATAAATTGTTTATACAGTAATGAAGAAATGTGGACCCGGACATTTCTTAGCCCTTTGCACTCACTCACTACTCACTTCACATTCAATAATATAGCACTGGAACCAATTATTTTATTGTAATGATATCTGGCTTATAACGGAATTTTGAACATTGAGGAACTTATGACCAAAAAATCAAAATTTTATATCATACATGTGTGTGTGTGTGTATATATATGTGTATAAGTGTATGTAATTTATTTATTTATTTATTTTTGAGTTGGAGTGTCATTTTGACTGGAGTGCAGTGGCAGTTCCTGGCCACCGCAGTCTCGACCTGCTGGGCTCTGGCGATCCTTCCGCCTCAGCCTTCCGAG